ATAGAGCATCCCCACTCTTGATTTAAATTTCCCTTTGATTTTCTCAGATCTTATAGGTCTCCTGTTATTCCTTTTTTATTTTTATTTCTCTGCATTGATTAGTAGTTCTTGTTCCTGAGCACATGTCACTGAACAGTTGCACTCAGGGTTTGGACCCTTTTCCTGTCATCTTTTACTTTTGCTTCTCATCTGTCCTTAACTGCTTGAAAAGTTTCATCTGTCATCCATTGAGGCTTCTCTTTCTTTTTGGTTGTAGATAGTGTATTTTTGCATCTCTACCCAAAAATGTCCCTAGTTTCAAACAGTTCAGTTCTGGCTTCCGATCAATTAGGCTTAATAGAGCAAATCTATTTTCACATTATCCTTAAAATCTATAGGAATGTTCTTCAGGTTGTATTTTGGCACAATGGTTAGTTTAGTTCTTTAGTCTTATTCTAATTTTTGATATCAGCAGTTCATGATCTCTGCCACAATTTGCGCCTGGTCTTGATTTTGCAAAAAGAATGGCATTTCTCCATCTTCTGTTTCCAATTATATTGTTTGTTTCTCTATTGGCCATCATCAGGTAATGTCACGTATACAACTGCCTCTTTGGTTGCTTGAAGAATTTGTTCATTATGAACCAACTGTTGGCCTCACAAAATTCAGTCAGACCCTCTCCTGTTTCATTTCTTGATCCTAGGACAGATTTTCCTACAATACTTTTATATTCCATTCACCTATGATTAACAAATCCCATTTTGGTGTGTGAAACATTTCCTCCTGGACTCTAGCATGGGATCTTTCAATTTCATCTTCTTCTGTCTCTGTAGCTGGAGCACCAATCAGATTATGTTTATACTGATGGGTTTTCCTTAAAGTCTTATTGATATGATTCTGTCAGACTTGGATTATATCCTTTGTCTGCTTTTGCTACATCTCTCCTCACTATTAATGCCACTCCATTTCTCAAATTTTAATTTCCTGAGTAAAATATTGTGTAATTATTGACTCAAAATATCCCATTCCTGTCCATTTTAACTTGCTCATCCCAAGTATTGCAATGTTCAGACATTCAATTTCTTGTTTTACTATCTTCTCCTGATTCATGCTTCTCACATTCCATGTTCATATAATATGTGCCTTGGACTTTCCTTTCACCTCTGAGCAGGCAGAGAGTTGAAAGTCCCTTTGGCTCAAGTCCAATTGCATCATTAGCCACCTTGCTCTACCCCAGTAGTTGGCTGAGGGTCACCTGGCCTGGGAGTTTCATCTTCTGGCCCTATCTCTTGTTTCATTTTAGATTGTCTAATATTCATAGTAAAAGGCATTCAAAAGGGGTTTCAAAAGTCCCTTTGGCTCAAGTCCAATTGCATCATTAGCCACCTTGCTCTACCCCAGGCATTCAAAAGAACCAACAAATGTTAGCTATGGTGCCACTGCCATTGCCGCTGAGAGATCCTCTCCCAGTCTTACCCTCCACTACTGCTGCTGCCAATATCTATTTGGCATATTTAGTCCGGCTCTTCAGCAAATGTTTATCTGGTATATAAGACTCTATGCAAATGTTTGTCTGGCATGTAAGACTCTATCAGCAGCACTACTGCTGTCAGAATAGCCTCTTGCCTCACAGGAGCACACAATCCCACTGCTGTGGAAAGGCAGCGCCATTGGTACAAAGATAAACTATATAAGAAATTTCCTCCATATACAAATGAAATCTGTAAAGGTACAAATGTAAGCCTTATAAAATTTACAGACGTTTCGAAGAGAACATTGAAAAGTGTTGAAATGTTTCTCAAAAATATTAAAAATACATATACAATGATAAGCTATGAGGGCACATGAATAAGAGAAGTACAAGAGGGGATTCAAAGGGAAATTACTATAAATCATCAGTGAAAGCAGTAATTCACAAATGCTCTGAAGTTCACTTCATTATAGCTGGGAAGGAAATGTCAAAGAAAGGCTAGGAAAACCTCCAAGCAACTATCCTCAGTCTTAATGGATAATAGATCTATCATGCGAAGGGGACACAGCTGAAACACTGGTGGATGTACAGGTGTACCCCAGTTAAAAAGACAGCCACCTTTGTCACTCTGGGATTTTCACACTGACAGATGAAAACCCTGTCACATGGTACAGACTGCACTGACAGCCTGGCAATGGGGATGAGAATGAGCAACTCTTTTGCTTTTCCTTCTGCATGCCAAAACAAAATGACAGAGGGTAGCTTCTAAAACCACGTTTCATTCTATTTTTACACCAGGGTGCTGTAGTGATTATGGTGTTTTATTGGAGGAAAAACCCCACTCCACCCCCACTATTAAAGTTACTCAATGATCCTGTGCCAGTTACTATCTCTCAGTCTGAAAAATACAATGAAAATAAAATTCCAATGTAACATCTCAAAAGATTTAACAGGATGGATCCTGAGTTGTACAGAGAGTGGCACTATGTGACATGAAGATCTCTAGGTAGAAATGGGCGAAGATAACTTCTTCTTCCCCTATAGCCTCCTATGTCCCTGAAAACCTGCTCTGAAGGGATGGGATAACCACTGTCCAGTATACAAGTATTACGTTAGCTGAGCAGAGGCTCTGATTCATCTTCCTGGACAAAAGGAACCCTGCCAATTGTGAAAGAACAGATCCACATTACGTTTATAAATTTATCATTTTTAAAAAAAATGCTGAGGGGACTGCTCCTCACAACATACATACGTCATGTAAGGGTCTAATTTAAACCTCAAGAAACCCTATCACTTGCTGCAAAATCAGTTAAGCATGTTTTGTGTGTGCAAAGCTTTTAAAGCATTCTCTCAGCAAGCCCTGCCAATCAAAAAGTTTAACACCTACCACCTCAGAGCCATCTGTGATAAAATTCACAGCAAATGAAAAAGCTTATCTGTTTACATTATCAACACAGGTTGAAACGATTAAAATAAACACAAGTAAAATGTATTGGGAGCTCACCTCTGGATATTTTAATTTTAGTGTTTGATGCATTTCTCTGAAACGACTGTACCGCCTAAATACTGCCCATGTTTCACCTAGGACTGAAATCTGTTACATAAAAGTAGAAAAAACAGTGTTAATAAAGAGAAAAAAAAATTCCTTTTCCAAATAAACACATTTATTTGCTGTCTTATAATTGCTGATTCCCACACACATATACCCATCCATAAACTGTTACTGGTAGGAGTAATTAAAGGAGAGCATGGAGGGATGCTAAGCTACAAGTTAAGACTTAGGAAGAGAATAAACCTGTCTTCTCTGCATTTGGGGAGACTCCTTCACTCACAGCCACAGTTTCATGGAAGCAGCAGTAACTCCATAATTCCACATTGCTGTGGGCTGCAGATAAAGACCTGAACCTTGTGAGGAGAGTTGATTGTGAGGATTTACTCCTCCAAACAGATGTGGATTTGTTCCTCCAAACAGGAGGAAGGGTGCCAATTCTATATGAGGGAGACTTCCAATTAAGCTCACCCTTGATTCTGCCTTTCACATACAACTTCATGGGAATCACAATACAGAGAAATGACTATCACATTGCTACAGCTTCAAAAAAATCAATAGGTATTTTGCCATCAGCTTTATGTGTGGATTTGGCTTCACCCTAAGCACAACTATATTGTAGTGAACTTGTTACACTTTTCTAGTCTTGATAACAAACATACTGCCATTTGTCAATTTAATACATGGGAAAGAAACAGACATACTAATGCAGGATTATGAAAAAAATTGGGCCACACAACAGGTTCAACAGTATAAAACAACAACAGAGAATTATATTAGCAATACCCAGTGATAAAACCCTTGGCTCTAAGACTGCATTTCTCAAATTCCTTCAAACCAGAAATTCTTTCTGTACTTGTCCCTACCTCAGCCTCAAAGCTTTTCCCAAAAAAACTCTTCCACCTTCTTGACTTCTTCCATGCACGTACACATCTCTCCTGCCCCACCCTACTCCATATCATATCCCATTCTGTCCCAGAGACTCCTCCAGACAAATAGTTTGGGAGACTTGCAG